CAATTCACTTGGACTTTCTCTTCCCCTGTTTGTTTTAGCAACTAAAAACCTTTCCAGGCATGTGGCTTAGGATGGGGACAACAGATGAGCTATGGTGGACTCCAAAGTTATAACCTTTGAGGCTATTGAATGGCATCATGTGGAAAGCTATGTTACAGATTCGTGGCTGCAGAAATAAGATCTCTCTAACTATTGTCTTCTACCCCCATATCACATTACATTCAAGGAAACGATACTAATAGAACCAATAAATCAAAGGCAGAACCACATTCTAGCCTATAATAAATATTGATTTGTTCTTCAGATCATCTGTTTATAAGATTGTTTTTGTAGCTTGATGTGCCAAGGTTTAATTATGAATTGCTAATGGATGAGCATAAATATGTCTATATAAATAGGTCCTGAACAGGAAGCAATAGACGTTTTGACAGTTTTCATGGATGTCTGTATAATTGCTTATCAAATACATGAAACTAATTTAGAAACATATCCACTGAGTCTTCTGGGTTCCAGTAAAGAAGAAATTATTATTATTGACTTTCTCCAATGCAAGAAGATCAGACTAGACAATTTAGACTATTCTTTCAAATTGTAAAAATCTATGATTTTGTGATTTATTACCTCTGTCAGTCAAAATTAATGACAGGTAGCTTCAGGAGTTTTACATGGGGTTAGATATGGAGCCAGGGAAATAGCCATTGTTATCCCCATTAGCACCACCTCCCAGATCGTGATTTGAAAGCAAAACTGTATTTTCACCTAAATCGTTTATATGATACAAGCAATTTGAAGGGAAAAATAGAACAGGAATAGATGATCTGTTTGATGGATAGGGGATTTAAAGCATGTCTCTCTCTCTCTTTTTTCTTTTTCTTTTTCTTTTTTTTGAGATGGAGTCTCACTCTGTTGCCCAGGGAGGAGTACAGCGATGCGATCTCGGCTCACTGCATCTCCACCTCCCAGGTTCCAGCGATTCTCCTGCCTCAGCCTCCCGAGTAGCTGGAATTACAGGCACACACCACCATGCCTGGCTAATTTTTGTATTTTCAGTAGACACAGGGTTTCACCATGTTGGCCAGGCTGGTCTCAAACTCCTGACCTCATTTGATCCACCCGCCTTGGCCTCTCAAAGTGCTGGGATTACAGGTGTGAGCCTCTGAGCCTGGCCTCTTTTTTTTTTTTTTTTTTTTTTTAAATAGGTTTTACTCATTAATGTTTTAAAAATAATTACATGAGGAATTTTACTAATCAATATTTAATTATTGACATTTACTACCTAAGCTATGCTTAGGGACACAAAACTAAACATTTAATCAGAAGATAGGCTTGATTTCTGGCTCTTTCTTATTAGCTGTGTGACTTTTTCCATTAAATGGAACACTTTCAGTTTCTATTTCCTCATTTTTAAAACATAAATTACTGTATTTATCTCTGAGCTACATTTTTCTTCAATTATTTATTCAGTAAGTATTTATTGTGAGCCTATTTTATTCTAAATAGTGTGGAAGATTCAAAAATCAGTAAGAGCCCAAAGGAACTTTGTTTATATGCGTATCAGTGATGTACATTATCTTCCAGTTTTCCCTGATTGGACACTTTCTAATGTCTGGTTTTGCTCAGTGGACACCAAAGTGGGTATCCAAGGCAGGCCACTGGGCACAGGAAGAAAATACTAGAACTTTTATCCTTATTTACTCCTTGTCATTTTTTCAGGATAACTGCATTTTGATAGTTTCAAACCTAGAGAAAAATTGCAAAAGTAGTATAAAGAACTCCCGGCTGGGCACAGTGGCTCACGCCTATAAACCCCGTACTTTGGGAGGCTGAGGCAGGCAGATCACCTGAGGTCAGGACCAGCCCAGTCAACGTGGTAAAACCCCGTCTATACTAAAAATACAAAAATGAGCCAAGCGTGGTGGCACACACCTGCAGTCCCAGCTACTTGGGAGGCTGAGGCAGGAGAATCGCTTGATCCCAGGAGGCAGAAGTTGCAGTGAGCCAAGATCACACCACTGCACTCCGGCCTGGGTGACAGAGCGAGACTCCATCTCAAAAAAAATGAAACAAAAACGAAACAAAACAAAAAAACACACTCCCATATATCTTTACTGGATTCAACAGTTACTAAAACTTTCCCCAATTGTGCCTTATTCTTCCTCACGACAGTACTGGGGTTTTCTTTCTTTCTCTCTCTCTGTCTCTCATATACACACACATGCATATATACATATGTGTACATGTGTGCAAATACATGTATGTATGCGTATGCATATATATGTGTATATACATATGCGTACATATACACACCATCATGTTCCACATTGCCCTAAACACTTCAGTAAGTATATTCTGAAACAATAACATTCTCTCTTTTAACCATGGTATAATAATTAAAATCAAGAAATTTAGCACTGATACAGTATTATTATGTAATTCACAGTTCATATTCAAATTACATCAGTTTCCCAATAATGTTCTTCAAAACTATTTTTTTTTCAGTTCAGAATAGCACATTGCCTGTGTTGTCATTTGTTTTTGGTTTCTTTAAATATGGAGGAGTTCTTAACATTTTTTAAGATACAGGTTAGCAATTTTGTAGAATTTCCCTGAATTTAATTTTGTCTGTATGATTAGATATAGATTGTACATTTTTGGCAGGAATACCACAGAAATGATGTGTGTTTCACAGTGTGCGTGTGATGTCTATTATCTCATGACTAGCAGTGTCAACTTTGGTCATTTGGTGAAAGTGGCCTTCCATTTTTTGTCACTGATTTCACTTTTCAATTAAGTAATTTGTGGGATACGCTGAGGTTATGTAAATATTTTGTTCCTCATCAGACTTTCACCCCCTAGGTTTAGCATCCAGTCTTATCCTGTTATATATCCATATTTGGGTATGCTTTATAATGTATGTAATATATTGGCAGGCATATAATTTATGAATGAATATGCAGACATATGTAGAAGTAGTCTGGGTTTGTGTTCAATTTTTTTTTTTTAACGAATAGTATTATATAATAAAACATGTTTGGAAACCGAATTGAATGCGATGGTCAGGCTGTTTTCAAGCTTTGGATTATTGAAACATTACAGGCTGTGTTTTGATGAGCAACCCCCACTGCCCCTTGTTCCCAGTGGCCACAGGCTTATTTCCAATATAAACTTGAATATTATTGCTTTTCAGGAATGTATGTACTTTCCTTTCTTCTTTTCATATTATGTTGTGTCAGATCAGTATCTGATCAGTGGAAGAAGGAAGAGGAGAGGCTTTTAGAAATGTGGCCAACTGTAGTGATGAAAGAATGTAAGGAAGATAGTATTTGCATGTATTTTATGCTAAGGCAATGTTATTACTACTTTAAAACAAGGGTTCAAAACCATTTCCTAGGAACACAACCGTAAAACCTCAGGAGCTTTGCAGGGTAGGGGGAGCCTAGGAGGAGAAGGCTTGGGACTGAGACTGGTGGCAGTGTGTCCCAAGCTTTGGTCATTTGGGTACAACTTCTGTGAATGATCATGAAGTAACTTCCAGATACTTCCACATCTACATTATTATTGACTCCAACTTTTTTTGTGAGTCATCTTTACATAGATCTTCTTCTAATTAGCCTCCTTTTAGGGCACAAGATCTTTGAAATCATGGGTTAGATGTGTTGGTTTGTATTTAAAAATACACATTTATTTAATTTAATTAAAAAATCTAATAAAGCTTTCAGTGCAACCTACAGTCATCTAACGTTAACACCAGCAGTGCAAAGCCTTCCCTTTGGAAAACCCATCTAGAAAACTCTGTATCTGAAGGACATTTACCAACTGTTTTTTGCCCTAAAGAGGAGGAAGAAATATGAGGCAAAGGAGAATTCAGTTAGATTTTGTCTAGGTTAGGATTACCTGACCTCCATAAGGGAGACAGACCTGGTATCCTTTGGGTTGTCATGTTTATTAAATCTACACACAGACTGAAGATCTTTAACTCATTACTTTGCTTATTTATTTACTTTTTTGAGACAGGATCTCACTCTTTTGCCCAGGCTGGAGTATAGTGGCACAATTATAGCTCACTGCAGCCTCAACCTCCCAGGCTCAAGTGATCCTCCTGCCACAGCCTCCCAAATAGCTGGACCTACGGTTGTCAGCCATCATACCCAGCTGATTTCCTAATTTTTTGTAGAGACGGTGTCTCGCTATGTTGCCAAGGATGGTCTCAAACTCCGGGACTCAAGCGATCCGTTTGCCTAGGTCTCTCAAAGTGCTGGGATTACAGACATGAACCGCTGTGCCCAGCCTTTTAGTTCCTTATTGTGTGTATTTACATCAATGAATTATTTACAAATATTAACTAAGAACTGAGTTTCTTTAAAGTGTTGTCATTACAGTTTTCCTACAGTACCTTCAGCCTGCTTCCTCAATTCTAGAGTCAGGCCAGCGTCAAATGTGGACACATCGTTTTGTTAATTTGGGCTGCAACATGTGTGTAAGGATTAGGGAAAGACATAGGAGGTAATATCTACAAGGACAGAGTTGGGATTCTGTAGTTCAAAGTAGTCTATTGGAGATTTGTTCAACTCCGATATAGGAAACGAAGATAACAACGAATTTGGGGGACAAAGACTCAGCTGAGAGAAAACTATAGTTGTCCTCCCTACGAGACAATAGGCAGCATCTTAAATTATGAAAAATTATACACAGATTTTTTTCTAAATGATTATTTTTACAATTTTTTTGTATTCTTAAAATGATCATGTTTTTGACTATTAACCTATAGGACTTTTGGTGTATAGTTAGTATTTTGAAAGTGTCTAGTAGAGATACTAGAATAAATGGGACATAAAACTTGCAAAGCTGGACAAATAAATGTCATTGGAGGCAAGTAAGGATGGGAAACAATTCAGAAGAACAGAATGAATCATTCTACTTCCGTCATGCTATTACTGAGTAATTTAATTTGTTTGCGTTGAATTCTGTGCTTCTTCCTGCCCTGTACCCTGAATCTTCAGGAAGGAGCTCATTGCCAAGTTGGATCAGGCAGAAAAGGAGAAGGTGGATGCTGCTGAGCTGGTTCGGGAATTCGAGGCTCTGACGGAGGAGAATCGGACGTTGAGGTTGGCCCAGTCTCAATGTGTGGAACAACTGGAGAAACTTCGAATACAGTATCAGAAGAGGCAGGGCTCATCCTAACTTTAAATTTTTCAGTGTGAGCATACGAGATTGATGCCTGCCCTGTGCTGGCCAAAAGATTTTTATTGTAAACGAATAACGAGTCAGATCTATTGCTTCTCTGTATTACCCACATGGCAACTGTCTATGATGAATTTACTGCTTGCCAGCTTCTAGCTTGAGAGAAGGGATATTTTAAATGAGATAATTAATGTGAAACTATTACTAGTACATGTTTTTGGAGATCAGAATTCTTTTCCAAAGATATATATTTTTTTCTTTTTTAGGAAGATATGATCATGCCGTACAACAGGGTAGAAAACGATAAAAATAGAATATTGACTGACCCAGCTAAGAATCATGGGCTGAGCAGAGTTAAGCCACACAACAAACCCGTAACATGTTCACTGTAGTTTCACATGTGTATTTTTAAAATTTCATGCCTTTAATATTTCAAATATGCTCAAATTTAAACTCTCAGAAACTTCTCTGCATGTATTTATATTCACCAGAGTATAAGCTTTTATACTCTGATTTTTATTCTTCAATGATTGATTGTACTAAGAATAAATGGTCATATATCCTAAAAGCTTCTTGATGAAATTATTAGCAGAAACTGTGTTTGTAACCAAAGCACATTTGCCAATGCTAACTAGCTGTTGTAATAATAGACAGATAAGGTTGCATTTGCTTCACGCCATGTGACCTTACAGTAAACATCTCTGCCTTTGCCTGTGTGTGTTCTGGGGGGAGGGGGGACATGGAAAAAGATTGTTTGGACATTATTTGGGTGAGTGCCCATGAAAACATCAGTGAACTTGTAACTATTGTTTTGGATTTAAGGAGATGTTTTAGATCAGTAACAGCTAATAGGAATATGCGAGTAAATTCAGAATTAAAATGATTTCTCCTTGTTCTACCTATCACCACATTTTCTCAAATTGAATTCTTTGTTTTATGTCCATTTCTATTCATGCAACTTCTTTTTCATTAAACATGGATCAAAACTGACAGTTTCTAGTTTGCTCTTTTCTTCACCTCCTTTGTGCTAGACGTTGGGATGACCTAGCCCTGGTCCGAAGCTGGTTCTTAGCTGTATTTGCATATACCAAAAAAAAAGAAGCGAAGTTCCATTTCTTCCTTCCTTCCCTCCCTCCCTCCCTCCCTCCCTCCCTCCCTTCCTTCCTCCCTTCCTTCCTTCCTTCCTTCTTTCCTTCCTTCCTTCTTTCTTTTCATTCTTTTCTTTCTTTCTTTCATGGAGTCTCGCTCTGTCGCCCAGGCTGGAGTGCAGTGGCAAGATCTCAGCTCACTGCAACCTCTCCCTCCCAGGTTCAAGCAATTCTCCTGCCTCAGCCTCCCAATTAGCTGGGATTACGGGTGCCCGCCGCCACCACGCCTGGCTAATTTTTGTATTTGTGGTAGAGATGGGATTTCACCATGTTGGCCAGGCTGGTCTCGAACTCCTGATCTTGGATGATCTGCCCACCTCGGCCTCCCAAAGTGCTGGGACTCCAGGCGTGAGCCACCGTACCTGGCCTAAAGTCCCATTTCTTAGAAAGACTGTGATTTCTCATATAAATAACTCAGAGCTTCAATACTGAATGTGATGCATTTGTATCTTGCGATACTTGCCCAAAAAACAGAAAAAAGGAATAATTCATTAAAACAGGATGACCTTAGATAAACCAATGGTTTTCAGACGAGGTGATTTTGCCCCCAGGGGACCTTTGACAGTGTCTGGAAAAAAGTTTTTGTTGCCACAGCTAGCATGAGGGGATGCTACCGGTATCTAGAGGACCGAGTCCAGGATACTGCTAACCATCCTGCCCAGAACAGCACCTGCAACAAAGAGTTGCACGCCTCAATGTGACAATAGTGCTGAGATTGATGTGCTCTGGGATAGACAAGTCTCGGGACAGTTTGGTCAAATGTGAAGGGAGGCACGGTGCAGGGCCACAGGTTTTTTGCCACGTGGTGCAGAGCTGGGAGGCCCTTATGCATGTTGATCTTCAATTTCCTCATTTGTGAAATGAAGCTTTTTGATAGACCGCAAAGTTTTCAGGTTATGTGAGCCTATTCACCCTTACGCTGCTTTAACATTTGACCAAAGGTGGAAGTCTCTGCTATTCTGGAAGAACCTTCTGTTTCAGTAACCTGCCTCTTCTTTTTAGTATAATGCTAATAAACACCAGTATAAGGGAGGATTTGTTCACTAAGTTAATACAAATACAAAGTTAGCAGAATGGGAGAAAGAAAGGTAAATTACTCATCTTTAACATAAGATTAGTTTTTGGACACTGCTCATCTGAAGACAGTGGCATATATTTACAGAATTCAAGCAGTCACAGTCCCTTCTAGAAAATGGGAAGCCAGGAAATATGGCTCCAAAATCTCTTTGCTTTACCAGAATGAAAATAGTTTAACAAAGTAAAAATATTTGAGCACAACTATTATTACATTAAGGAGTCACTGATAGTTTTCTTATTTTTGCTGGTGTTAGCTTGCCTTTTTACTGTTTCCAAAAGATACATGTTTTTGTGACCCGAAAGCAAGCATTTCCCTAGGTGTATATATTTTAAGCAGATTTTTATTCATTGGAACATGAAAATATCATCTGCTTTTGTAGCATGTCAGAGAAATCTTATGTCAGAAGGTGGAATTTCTTATGTTATCTGTCTTTTTTTTTTCATTAATTTGACAAATTTCCACTAATCTTATTTACCACTGCATATTATCTATATAATGCAGACCATTTGAGAATTTTCTATCTTCAATTATATTTGCGATATTCTTGCTATTAGCAATAATGACAATATTATAGAGCATAAAAACGAGCACAGAAGTACTATGGTGTTAGTAGTAGTGTAGTATTAGGATGAAAGTGCTTGCTTTAGAGATAGAATTAAGAGAAAATGAGCCGGGCGCGGTGGCTCAAGCCTGTAATCCCAGCACTTTGGGAGGCCGAGACGGGCGGATCACGAGGTCAGGAGATCGAGACCATCCTGGCTAACACAGTGAAACCCCGTCTCTACTAAAAATACAAAAAATTAGCCGGGCGCAGTGGCGGGCGCCTGTAGTCCCAGCTACTCGGGAGGCTGAGGCAGGAGAATGGCGTAAACCCGGGAGGCGGAGCTTGCAGTGAGCTGAGATCGCGCCACTGCACTCCAGCCTGGGGCACAGAGCAAGACTCCGTCTCAAAAAAAAAAAAAAAAAAAAAAAAAAAAAAGAGAAAATGTAACTCACATTATATTTTGTAATCGATCTACTAAAGAATTTGCCATTTATGGGCCATTTATTTTGTGTAGACATGAGAAGAATGTGGTTACACGTAGCTAGAAAATTTATAACCTTTGGTATGGGCAGGGCGTGTATCTCTATCTCATCCTGGTACCTGGGTTTGAGTGTATGATTAACTCAGTGCAAGTAAGGAACTAAATAAAAGAGATGTGGAACTGAAATTCGATTCAACAAAAATTTATTGTACACTTAGCTAATGCGGGGCAGAGCAACAGCAATAGAAGATGTAAAAATGACAAAGATGATGTGGTCCTAGCACATTTAGGGATGGATTGCACCAGACAGAGAATAGAGGCACAGGCAACTGATAGAAGGCTAATAGAAAAGCATGTGCAAGGCAAGTCTAAGAGCAGCAGCAGTTGAAAGGGAGTAACAGACTAAGAGGGATGGGAAAGACGTAAGGGAAAGTAGGCTCCGCAGGGCTTCGGATGGATTGCATGTGTGATTGAGGCAAGGAAGAGGAAGAGAAAGAATGACCCCCTTCTGTGCCAGACTATACTAGGTGCTTTGTACAGGCTGTATTATTTTAACCACCCGAGAGACAGCTGTGATTATTCCTTTTCTCCAAAACCAGAAACTAATGTTGTATAATTTGTAGAAAGTTCTCAGAGCTGGGATTCAAGTGCAAAGTTTCATTCATTCATTAATTCATATAGTCAATATTTATTGAATGTCCACACTCTGCCAGGCATCCTGGAATATACCAGGGACACAAAAGTGAACACTAGAAACAGTTCTGTTCGGTTCTCAAGGAACCCTTAGTCTAGCAAGCGAGGTAGCTATTTATCTAAATACCCAAATGGGGTAGTTTTAAAACATATCAAAAAATTCCCATAAGAGGTAGAACCTCATTTCTTTCCCCTTTAATGTCAGTTGGACTTAAAGACATGTTTTTGACAAATAGAGTAAAGCAGCAGTGACAACATGTGACTTCTGAGTCCAGGTCATGAAAGACATTGGAGCTTCCTTCCCACCTGTTCTCTCTTGGATCACTTGCTGTGGGGTGAGCCCGCTGCCACGGAGAAGCCCACAGGGTAAGGAACTGACACCTTCGGCCAACAGCCACATAAGTGAACTTGGAAGCAGATCTGCCAGTCTCAGGCAAGACTTCAAACGTGCAGTCTGGCTGACATCTTGAGTACAGCCTCATGAAAGTCTCTGAGTCAGAACCACCCAGCTAAACTGCCCCTGGTTCCCGATTCTCAGGAACTTTGAGGCAATAATACTGGTTTTAAGCTGCTAAGTTTGGGGTGATTTGTTTTGCAGGAAGAGATAATGAAGACAAGCACATAAGTGAGATAAGTGACAAAATGTAGTTGATGAATGCACCTTAAAAACAGAATCTTGCCAGGCGCGATGGCTCACGTCTGTAATCCCAGCACTTTGGGAGGCTGAGGCAGGTGCATCACCTGAGGTCAGGAGTTCAAGACCGGCCTGGCCAACATGGTGAAACCCTGTCTCTACTAAATATACAAAAATTAGCCGGGCATGGTGGTGGGCCTGTAATCCCAGCTACTTGGGAGGCTGAGGCAGGAGAATCGGTTGAACCCGGGAGGCAGAGGTTGCAGTGAGCCGAGATCACGCCATTGCACTCCAGCCTGGGCAAAAAGAGTGAAACTTCATCTCAAACAAACAAACAAACAAACACGGAATCTTACTGAGATGAGGGAGTCTGGGATGGCTTCTTAATGTAGCGTCTACTGAGCTAAGATCTAATGGATGAGTAAGAACTAAAGAGGCAAAGAAGGCAGGTGGAGAAGACAACGTAGACAGAGTGAAAACACGTGCAAAGGCCCTGGGGCATGCTCAAAGACCTGAAGGAAGGCCAGGATGGCTGAGCATGAAGTGGTAGGGAGAATGTAGTATAAGGTACAGTTGTAGAATAGGGCAAGAACTTGAAGATCACATTAAGAATGTTGGCCTAAAAGCAAAGAGAAGCCATTGGAGAATTTTAAGCATATTACAGGGGTAACATGTTTTTTGCTAGGATAGCATGTTTTAAGAGTTTTCTGGCTGGGCGCAGTGGCTCACACCTGTAATCCCAGCACTTCATGAGGCCGAGGTGCATGGATCACCTGAGGTCAGGAGTTTGAGACCAGCCTGGCCAATATGGTGAAACCTCATCTCTACTAAAAAAAAAAAAAAAAAAAAAAAATGTAGCCAGGCATGGTGGCATGCCTGTAATCCCAGCTACTTGGGAGACTGAGATGGGAGAATCACTTGAACCCAGGAGGTGGAGGTTGCAGTGAGTCGACAGCACGCCGCTGCACTTCAGCCTGGGCACGATAGAGTAAGACTCAGTCTCAAAACGAAAAAAAAAAAAAAAAAAAGGGTTTTCTAAGTTACCTAACTTAAGTTGATTAGAGTGCTATCTAGGGTTATTTATACTATACATATTTAGGTAGACGGATAGTAGAAAGATGACAGGGTTGTTTAAATGGGGTTGTTACACACATTTTACTTGCGATGTCCTCAATGGTTGTTATTATTTTGTATTACAAGAAGGGAACCCCCTCAGACTGCATCCTCTCTCTCTTACTTTCCCAGAGGAAGAGCGAAACGGTTCTCAATGGCAAATGGAGTTGCAGTGAAGCAGCACCCAGAGCCAGTGTCAGCCTCCGGAGAGAGCACCGCGCTGCCGCCTGTGGTTCCTGGTGTTCCACATGTTCAGGGAAACTTCTCTAGCAGTGGGCTATAGAAATGATCCCTGCAAGCATTGTCTTTGTAAGGTCATTTTAATGACTATTTTTCTCCTCAGGAAATAGGTAAGCCCTCAGCAGTATCAAATAGCTTGGCAGAATAAAAGGCAGATTGAGTCGGCCTCCACTGTGACCATTAACATATTTAATTGGGTGACACCAAATCATCCTGCCTTTTATGAAAATGTCTACAATCCGTCTTGGTTTTTACCACTTTAGAGTTGACAAACTCCATATGGGAACAGAATACTCTTAAACAGAACTCTTAAAACTGTATTTTTCACCTCTCTGTATTATTTATGTATTTATCTATTTATTGAGACAGGGTCTTGCTCTGTCACCCAGGCTGGAGTGCAGTCGTGTGATCCCAGCTCTCTGCAGCCTCGGCCTCCTGGGCTCTAGCTATCCTCCCAAGTAGCTCAGATTGCAGGAATGCACCACCAGGCCCAGTTATTTTAAAAAATATTTTGTAAAGATGGGGGTCTCACTTTGTTGGCCCAGGCTGGTCTTGAACTCCTGGGCTCAAGCAATACTCCCGCCTTATCCTTCCAAAGTGCTGGAATTATAGGCATGAGCCACCACACCTGGCCTGTCATTATTATTTTCTTATTTTTTATTTTTTTAATTTGAGACAGAGTCTCCCTCTGTCGTGCAGGCTGGAGTGCAATGGCACGTTCTCAGCTCACTGCAACCTCCCCCTCCCGGGTTCAAGCAATTCTCCTGCCTCAGCCTCCCGAGTAGCTGGGATTACAGACACACACCACCATGCCCGGTTAGTTTGTTGTAGTTTTAGTAGAGACAGGGTTTCTCCATGTTGGTCAGTCTGGTCTTGAACTCCCCACCTCTGGTGATCTGCCCGCCTCGGCCTCCCAAAGGGCTGGGATTACAGGTGTGAGCCACCGCGCCCAGCACCTCTTATTTTTAAAGAATGAGAATAATCGGAGCTGGGAATGCAGCTCGCATCAAACACGAACATAGAAAAGGAAATGTACAAAGTGGGAGATGAAATCACTCACAAAGCAGATAGTATGAACTTCTAGATTCCCTGAATACCCTTCCAGTTCTAATCTCCTGTGTTTTAATTCACTGGGAATATATTCCTTCATTTCTCATAATTACAAACAAATCCTCCTTAGAAGAGAAATTCATGCTTAAGAGAGTATTCAGTTCCAGTGTTAAAATCGTATCTTTTCATTTTTCTCTGAAACTTGGAAAATGTCTCTGCTCAGTCCTTTGTGTGTACTTCTCAGGCAGTGCTGAAGACAGAGAGATAAAAGGGGTGGTGCTGACACGTAGATGACTGGGGCTGTGACAAGGACCATGAGCTGATGATCTGAGTCACACAAACTGGAAAACAAAGTTTTTCCCTAAGGAGATGGACTTTTAAAAACTTCTTATTGGCTGCTTTTGGATTAAGGCGTTTAGGACCAGCATTATGAGCAGAACGACTCAGTGTGTATGAAGGAGAAACCAAGTTTCTCTACAGCAAAAGAGGAGGAATTTGCTTTTGCAAAATGTTTTACTGTTTTCTCTGTCACTGAACATGTCTGGGCAGTGACTGTTCTCTCAGGTCTGAGTCCTGAAAAGTGAAAGGGAAAGAGATTGTAGGACAAGGTGAAATGATACACGAAACAGCATTTCCCCCAGCTTCTTCTTTGCCTGCACATTTCTCATAAATGGAGTAAATGCTGAACAAGCTGACTTTCTCCCATCATTCCTGTAAATAAGGATATGACTCACAGACCTTGCAATCTCTAAAATGCCATAGATACTACAGTGATTTGATTATTTAAAAATAGCTGGGAAAATAACAGCAAGAAATTGGTCCTGGGTAAGTTAGGATGGATTCTTTTTTGTTTGTTTTTGTTTATCATTTAAATGGTTATTGTATCTCACCCTAAGTATTCTGACAACATCTAGTTTGCCAAATAAATCTTAGGGATTTGTGAGTGCTGGAGACTAACAGTATGAACGTGCTAGTCAGATCTCAGATCCCAGGCAAAGAAACCCAAAAAACGAGAAACAAAAGACAGCCAGACACAAGGCTCACCATAGAGTCACTGTGATCTGCGGGCAAATATGGATTTGGTTATATGATCTCCTTTTCTATAAAGCAGAGAGAGGTAAGTGTTGACAGCACTTAAGTATGCTGACTCCCACCTCCAAATAACACAAGTGCTGGTAATAACAATAATTTATATTAAGCCTACTGAATGGCTTTTGTTGATCTTTAAGTAGCCTATCTAGAAATGGGAAACGAACGACCTCTTTATTATTAGTAAAGTGTTAAAACTCCCCAAGTAGGGCTGTTTGTCAAAACTAGGTGTGAGTTTGAGATTCAGGATTAAGGTTCAAGTAGGGAATCTCCATTTACCCTGCATCTCAGTCTTACGCTGTATTAGTCAGGGTCTTGGGAGGAAAGAGGAGCACCCTTAAGAAGGGGTGATGAAAAGAGAACGTAATGAAGGGATTATTATAAAGTTAGAGGAAGAGTTAAGGGAAATAAGAAGGGTTGATGAGGTCCTTGGGGTGACTACTTCAGGAAGTCTTCCCTAGGCTTTCAAGGGCAAGCAAAGGACCACTGACGTCCTCACAAACTTGTATTTTGGTGAGGGAGCTGGGCCACAGCTGACCTAGGGCTTAGCAGAAAATTTCTCTCTCCTTCTGTCCTTCCATCCTCTCCTGGTGGCTCCCACTGGCCAAGCCCAACTACAAACTAGAGAGCAAGGGAGCTTGGTTGCTGGGGTCCATACAACCAGTCTTTCAGAGTACAGAGTAGAGTGAAAGGGTGGAGAATGGATCCGCAGGGGAACATGGATAGTGTTGGGCACAGACCACAGACAAACGAAAGAGATGGAAATGCTTCAGAAAAGAAAGCAGGATGGCCAGGTCGGTGACTTTTTTTTTTTTTTTTTTTTGGAGATGGAGTCTTGCTCTGTCACCCAGGTTGGAATGCACTGGCGCAGTGTTGGCTCACTGCAACCTCCTGGGTCCAAGCAATTCTCCTGCCTTAGCCTCCCTAGTAGCTGGGATTACAGGCGTGCACCATCATGCCCAGATAACTTTTTGTATTTTCTTTCTAGTAGAGATGGGGGTTTCACCATGTTGGCCAGGCTGGTCTTGAACTCCTGACCTCAGATGATCCACCCACCTCGGCCTCCCAAAGTGTTGGGATTACAGGTGTGAACCACTGCACCTGGCCAGGCCTGTGATGTTAATAATGGGATCTTGTCTAGTGGTAAAGCCCCATTAAATGTCTGGAAATCTGAATCAGAAGGACTAGCAACTGTTTGTCCCTAGGAATGGATCAAAGGTAGGTCCTATGGATATGGCTTGTCTGTCCTCACCAAAACTCATGTTGAAATTCGATCACGAATATGGTGGTGGTGAGAGGCGGGGCCTAGTGGGAGGTGTTTGGGCCAGGGGCATGGCCTTATGAATAATGCAGTTTTCTAGGTAGTGGGTTCTTGCTCTCATGAGACTGTATTAGTTCTTGTGGGAATGGATTAGTTCCCTAAAGTGTGAGTTATTATAAAGCAAGGTTCCTGTTCTTGTTTGATCCTCTCTCTTCTCACTTGTCTGCTTCCCCTTTGACCTTCTCTGTCCTGCAATGTTACGACACAGAAGAACACCCTCACCAGAAGCCATGGCCATACTTTTGAACTTCCCACCCTGTAGAACTGTGGACTAAATACACTTCTTTCTTTTGTAAATTACCCAGTCTCATGTATTCTATCATAGCAGGACAAAATGGACTAAGGCAGTAGGGTTGCCAGGGAAAAGACAGGCACCCAGTTAAAATTGAATTTCAGAAGTTAGACAAACCTTTTTTTTTTAGTATAAGTATAGCCCATGCAATATTTGGAATATAAAGAACAATGATTCTTTAAGTATAAGTATATCCCAAATATTGCACAGGATATACTTATGCTTAAAGAGTTGTTGTTCATTTGAAATTCAGTTTTAACTGGGCAACCCGTATTTTTATAGATACGGTAATTCCTTCTCACTAAAGATATTAGAATTAGAATTTGAATATAGTATAGCATTTCTGAAACCTTGTTCTTTCAACACAAATGTTTGAAGTGTTAAGTATTTCCAAACAAACAAACAAAGATAAACACTGTTTCATAGTCAAAGAAGTTTAAAAAACACTGGATTAAAAGAAAGCTAAATAGTTCTCACAGCTTTAGGATTTCTCCTGGGACTTAATGCTAACATGCATTGTGACAACAATAATAGTGTTTCTCCTTGCTTTATTTAAAAACCTTCACAACAAAGAAACGGCCCAATATTCTGTTTCACTGTGACCATAAATTTCCATTGAAATGCAGTTTAAATTTTAAAAAGTCATTTTGGTGTCTATCATGTTAAAGTGAAATTTTGCTATTACTTCATAATCTTGCTTTACGACTAAATTTATATTTACAAAGATGTTTTAAAGCTCTCTATAAATGTTTACAAAGTAATAGCATTGTATTTAATAAGCTGTTACATTGTTCACTTGATACTGGTTTTGCTTAGCTTAATATGAAGAATCAGTTAAAACCAAATTATCATCTAAGCAGGGACAATCCTAGATTATTCAGAGAGAAAATGAGGATAAAAACATTAGCTCTGTCTGCTTCTCAAGGTTATTTTTGGCGAGAAATTAAGTAATGTTGTGAAAGACTGTGCAAATATTACCGTGACTATACAAATTACCCTCCCTGTAGAGTTGATGGGCTTTTCACAATTTTCTCCCTTTCTGGTCATAGGTATTTTATCTAATTTATTGTGCAGTCTGTGATTCCACCCTGTTGTGTGCAGTGGGAGTGAAAGGGAGTTACATGAGTTAAGATTAGAATTACTTGTGAAGGACAGAAACCTGCCAAATAATGGTGGCTTAAACAAGGTGGAAGTTCCTTTTCTCTCATGCAAAAGACTGGGATGTATAGTCCTGGGCTGAAATAGAGGCTCTTCTCCATAAAATCTCCAGGGCCTCAAACTTCTTTGCCATGATTGAGCAATGTTTCATAATCTCA